GATGGCCTTTTCAACAAATGGTGCTGAAGCAACTGGGCATCCATGGGGGGGAAAAATGAACGTCAATCTAAGCCTCACACCTTATACAAAAACGAACTCCAAATGAATCATGGACTTATACAAAAATGAACTCCAAATGAATCATGGACTTAAATGTAAAGCTATAAAACATTTAGAAAAAATTGGAGGAAATCTTTAGGATCTAGGGCTAGGCGAAGAGTTCTTAGACTAGACACCAAAACCATAATCCATAAAAGGAAAAATCTATAAATTAGACTTCATTAAAATTCAAAACTTTTGCTCTGCAAAAGACGGTTAACAGGCTAAAAGGATAAGCTACAGAGTGGGAGAAAATATTTGCCAACCACATATTTGACAAAGGAGAGTATGGAGAACATATAAAGAACTCCCAACACTCAATAGTTTAAAAAGGGAAACAAACCAATTAGGACATGGGCAAAAGACATGAAGAGACATTTCACTGAAGAGCATATGCAGATAGCAAATAAGCACATGAAAAGGTGTTCAATATCATTAGCCATTCGGAAAACACAAAACCACAAAGAGATATTATCACAGACCTATCAGAATGGTTAAAATAAAAAAAAAAAAATTGTAACAACGCAAAATGCTGGCAATGAGGAAGAGAAAATGGGTCACTCAAACACTGCTGGTGAGACTCTAAAAGGATAGAGCCACTATGGAAAACAATTCGGCAGCTTCTTAAAAAACTAAACATGCAACTGCTATATGACTCAGCAGTTTTACTCCTGGGCATTTATCCCAGAGAAATGAAGATTCATATTCATACGAAAACTTGTAAATGAATGTTTATGTAAATTTTATTTACAATAGTTCCAAACGGGAACAATCCAGATGTCCTTCAATGGGTAAGTGGTAAATAAACTGTGGTACTTCCATACCATAGAACACTACTCAGCAATAAAAAAAGGAACAAAGTATTGACACATGCAAAATCCTGAATGAATCCTCAGAGAATTATGCTGAATGTTGTCAGAGCCAATCCCAGAAGGTTACATAATGTGTGATCCCACCTGTAGAGCATTCTTTTTTTTTTTTTTTTTTTTTTTCGGGCCTCGGGCCGTTGTGGCCTCTCCCGTTGCGGAGCACAGGCTCCAGATGCGCAGGCTCAGCGGCCATGGCTCACGAGCCCAGCCGCTCCGCGGCATGTGGGATCTTCCCGGACAGGGGCACGAACCCGTGTCCCCTGCATCGGCAGGCGGACTCTCAACCACTGCGCCACCAGGTAAGCCCTATAGAGCATTCTTGAAATGACAGAATTTAGGAATGGACAACAGATTAGTGGTTGTCAGTGGTTAAGGAGAGGGTTGGACTGGGATAGAAGTGGGTGTGGCTATAGGAGAGCAGTATGAAAGATCCTTGTGGTGATGGAAATGTTCTGGATCTTGACTGTAACACATCTTTGTTGTGATACTGTAGCACAGTTTTTGGAAGATGTTACCACTGGGGGGAAACTGGTAGAGGGTACTTGGGATCTCTGTTATTTTTATGACTACATGTGAATCCAAAATTATCTCAAAATAAAAAGTTTAATTAAAAAAAACTTATCCACAAGAGAATTAGAAAGTTCACAGAAGAGGAGTAAAGATCATGGAGAGAAAGGTTCATAGCTGGCGAATGATTATAACCAGACCCAGTTGTCCTCAATCTTTCCCACTCAGGGATGGAGATGGACTCTTAAGGAATCACACGAAAATATAAATAAACTTTAGAGTTCAGACCCCTGAGCACGAGGGCACAAAAGGGAGTGAACTAAGAGTCACCAGAATTTCTAAACCTACCGAGCTACCTGTCAGCTCTAGGAAATCTTCACTGTAATAGCAGACAAGAGTCTCTGCCTTGGGGAAACAAACAAATAAATAAGGTACCAGCCAGCTTCTCCAATTTTTTTTTTTTTTTTGTGGTACGCAGGCCTCTCACTGTTGTGGCCTCTCCCGTTGCGGAGCACAGGCTCCAGACGCGCAGGCTCAGCGGCCACGGCTCACAGGCCCAGCCGCTCCGCGGCATGTGGGATCTTCCCAGACCAGGGCACGAACCCACGTCCCCTGCATCGGCAGGTGGACTCTCAACCACTGCGCCACCAGGGAAGCCCTCCAATTTTTCTGTGTAGTAGCCAACCTCCAAGATAGCCCCTAATGAATCCATTTCCCAGTGTAGTCTTATGTAGTCCCCTCTCATTCAGAATAAGGATGAACAAGGGCTTCCCTGGTGGTGCAGTGGTTGAGAATCTGCCTGCCAATGCAGGGGACACGGGTTCGAGCCCTGGTCTGGGAGGATCCCACATGCCGCGGAGCAACTAGGCCTGTGAGCCACAACTACTGGGCCTGCGCGTCTGGAGCCTGTGCTCCTCAACAAGAGAGGCCGTGACAGTGAGAGGCCCATGCTCCGCAATGAAGAGTGGCCCCTGCTCGCCGCAACTGGAGAAAGCCCTCGCATAGAAACGAAGACCCAACACAGCCAAAAATAAATAAATAAATAAATTTATTTTAAAAAAAAGAATAAGGATGAACAATAGGATACTGCATAAATGAAAGTGTGTGACTTCCAAGGATAAGGCATAAAAGACACTGCAGCTTCTTTCTTGTTCTCCTTTGGATCAGCTGCCATGTTGTAAGGACACTCAAGCAGTACTAAGGAGGAATGCACAAGGTGAAGAACTAAGGCCTCCTGACAGCTATGAAAAAGAGCCATTCTTAGAAGCAGATCCGTCAGCCCCAGTCAAGAAGACTGCAGCTATAGACACTTTTGACTGCAATTTCATGAGAGACACTGAGCCAAATCCACCAAACTAAATTGCTCCTAAATTGCTGAATCACAGAAACCACATGAAATAATAAACATTTATTGCTCTTTTAAGCCAGTAAGCTTTGGGGTAATTTGTTATCCTGCAATAAATAACTAATACATTTTACCTTCCACTACCACGGCCATTTGGGTGTAACCAACGTTAGCCACTAGGAGGAAAGCCTTGTCTATTTAGAAGACTAAAAGCAGAGGCTAAAAGATAGACTAATAGGCCAATGGAACAGAAGAATCCTGAAACAGACCCCTACATACATCATCACTAGATTTAAGAAAAAGGTGATACGGCAGCGCTATGGAGAAAAAAACCTGTCCTTTTGATAAGTGGCACTAGGTAAATTCAATAACCATGGGAAAAGAAAGATTCTTGATCCTTATGTCACGCCACATGTGAAAATTAATTTCAGAACATTATAAACCCAAATGTGAAAGATAAAACAATAAAGTATTTAGAGGAAAACAAAGGAAAATATGTTTCTGACTTTGGGGTAGGCAATGATTTCCCGAATATGCAAAAGGTACTAAGACAACAGAAAAAGGAATCAATTATACTACAGTAAACTTCATTTCTGGTTATCAAAAGGCACCGTTAAGAGGATGAAAAGCCAAGCCAAGAAAGTGAGAAGAGATATTTGCAATACATACATCCAATGAAGGACTCATATTCAGAACATATAAAAAAAGCCTATAAATTAGCAAGAATAAGACCACTCAATAGAAAAATGGGCAAAAGTGTAAATAGACACTACACAAAAGAAGATACCCAAATGGCGATAAACATGTAAACAGATCTCAACTTTATTACTCATTAGGAAAATGCAAATCAGTAACACTAAGACAACCACCAGAGTGGTTCCAATGAAAAAGACTGACAATGGTAAGTTTGCGGAAGGATGTGGAAAAACTCTCACACCCTGTTAGGATGAATGTGAGTTGGTATAATCACTTTGGAAAACTATGGCAGTGTTTACTAAAACTGAACATACTCACACCTCAGGACCTTGTATCTACTCCTAGGTACTTACCTCAAATAACTGTGTACATATATTCACCAAAATACATGTAAAAGTATGTTTACTGCAACACCATTCATAACAGCCCATATCATACCTGCCTTTTTGCACTCCTATTTCAAGTGCTTGTTACCTATAGTCTGGACTGTTTGCATAGCTTCCTAACCTAAGTTATCCTAAATTAATACTTATCAATGATTCCAGTTTAATCTTCCGATCAGAGTAAAACTCTGATCATGTCATTCCCCTTCACTATCCAAAAATTTAATGGCTCCCTATCACCTGCATAGCAATGTCCAAATCTTATGGCTTAGTTTTCTTTTTATTAAAATAAAATAAATTATTTTCAATGTGGTAAAACATAACATAAAATTTACCATTTTAAATGTACAGTTCTGTGGCATTAAATATATTCACACTGTTGTAGAGCCATCAACACTATCCATCTCCAGAACTTTTTCATCTTCCCCAACTGAAATTCTGTATCCATTAAACATTAACTCCCCATTCCTCCCTGTACCCAGTCCCTGAAAACCACTATTAGACTTTCTGTATCTTTGAATTTGACTACTCATATATGTGGAATCACACAATATATGTCCTTTTGTGACTGACTTATTTCACTTAGCCTAATTGACTTATTTCACTTTATGCCTAATTCCTGGTATAACCCAGCCAGGCAGAAGAAACACTATTAATTCAGATCAACAAAAACTCAAACCAAGGGGCACAAAGGCAGAGAAATAAGGAGAACAGAATGAGATAGATGATGCAGAGTGCGATAAGCAAAGCTTGAGATTAGAGTGAAAAGACCCAAGTTATAGTCCTAGTTCTTGCTCTACAACCTTGGACAAATTTAACATCTCTTAAGCCTTAATAACCAAATATATAAGAGGGAAAATAACAAAGCTAATAATACTGATTTGAGAATTAAGTACAATTATTAAGTGTGAGAGCAGCTAGGACCAAACTCTCTGCATGACACATGTCAAGAACATAGTTATTGACTCTAAAGCAGCCCAAGGACATTCTGGGATCACGTAACTGGGAAAACAGTTATCATTATGAAAGATCCCCAGATTTCCAATTCATAGTTTTAGTTTTTTCACTATGAAAGAGGCATTATTTTGTCCTTTGTCTTACCGCATACCACACATCAGCAACTCCTCTGAATTTCGGTTAAAGGTATCAGGATTCGTCCAGTCTCTCAGATTCAAAATCATCTACTTCCAGTTCAACTCTTCTTGCTATTTCACTGTTCATGACGAATCAATGAGCTCCTTCTATAGTATTCAGTAAAACAAGCACAAATTCTGCTAAATGCTTTGAGGGATAAAGAAAGAAGGCAAGACCCAAACTTTCCTTTCAACTTACAATGCTTACAACAATTCAGGGAGATAAGACATGAACACATATCCCTAAAATAAAAAGCAGATTTTTATAAGCACCATAATAGGGACACAATATGCTATTAGACCACTGAAGCAGAGAATCAAACCTTTAGGGATGGGTAGGAGAGGGGGAGAGAGAGCGAGCAACAAAGAGAAATGAACTTGAATGAATATGAACAGTGAAGAAGGTAGGGTTTGATATACGGTTTGGGGGAAAGAAGGAGGAAAGGTCAGTTCTTATAGAGCACATAGTATGACCAAGACCTGGGTATGGGAAGATATGACAGGTTCAGAGAATGTGGAACAGTCTTTTTTGAATGTGGAAAAGAAAGAGGAAAGGAAGAGTCTGGTGGTCCTGGAAAGCCAACACCACCCTAAGCATTTTTAATATTTTCTTTACTGATAATGGAGGGCCACCGAAGAGAACAGATTAGCAGAGAAATGATAGTTATCGCTGTGCCCTTAACTGGAAGAATGAGGAAGAGCAACCAGAGAAAGGAAACATAAGAGGCAGGAAAACTAAGAAGCTGCTGGAATACTCTGCAACAGTGAGAGATGATGGCAGGGAGACAGAGCACAAAAGACAAGGCAAGTCACTTTACTCAACAACGGGGCTTAAAGAAGTACATGGCATAAGGGCCGACCCTCAAGAAAGTTAGAACCTTCCACTTGTGTCTACGATTAACAGAACGCCACCACCTTCTCTGATGAAACAGAAGTGACTGTTTTCCTTTTGTACCCAAATCCAGTAAAACAAAACGAAACAAAAAAACGTTTCACAACCACCCAGACCACAGACATGTACCATGGGAATGTAGGGCCCGGAAGTTGCATCATTCTTGCTTTAAGTGGAGAGTGCATATCCCTCACGAACGTGTCTGTGTTCTTTGGGTTATATTCCAAGGTCTCCAAGCATGTAGAATGCAGACATGACTTCTTCCTATTGCTCTTGGCACCTAGAAAACTTCGGTGGACTCCAGTTCAGCTTTACACTGGCCAGATCACACGGGAGTGCTGTGCTCAGGTCTGGTGGTGTAAAGGGTCCTGAAATCCAGTGGTACCAGGATTTAGTGAGGTTTTGCCCGGAGTCATGACTGTCGTGTTCTGAGATATAAGAGGCTAATGTACAGAAGAACGATTTGATTTATTTTGGGTGATCCCACATACTAAAGCTGAACTAGGGCCAGCAGGGGCATGCTACAGAAAAGCAGAGTTTTGGCTCAGTGTAAGTAAGAATTTTCTAAAAGAGCGGTCCAAAGCAGATCCTTTGGAAACTGAAGAACTACTCAGCACCAGAGATACTAAAGAGGAGTTAGCCTAGAGCAGGGGTTAGCAAACTTTCTCTGTAAAGAGCAGAGAGTAAATATATTTTAAGCCTCACAGACTATACAGTCTCTCACAGCTACTCAAGTCTATAGTGGCATGGAAGAAGCCGTAAACAATTTGTAAGCAAATGAGAGTAGCTGTGTTCCACTAAAACTATTTAGAAAAAGAGGTGGTGGACAAGATTGGCTTGCTAGCCCCGGGCCTAGACTAGGAGTGGGTAGGGAGGGAGAGTTGAGCTGTGGGTCGGTAGGAAGAAAGGGACTAAGGTCTCTTCCAACCATGAGAGCCTTATGTATTTTTAACCAAGAAAATCTGACATGGTAACACCTCATTTAATCAGATTATTCATTCTTGGAACAGGGGGATGTGTTCTTCCACAAAACCAAGTATTAACTAGAACTCCCTTAGTTTCAGCCTTGACAGTTGAAAATATTTCTGAAACTCCAGAATCTTCTGCCTTGCCTTAGGTACTATACCAAAGATAATAGAACTTTTCTTTGATGACTAAGGACTTCTCAGAGCCTCAAACCATCTTTCCAGATACCAAATCTCACATGCCTTGTGGCTAAAGTTGTAGAAGGGTCAAGACATTTCTTGGAAGAGGGTTTTGTGTAACTCCTAGAAATGGGTGTGTCCTTTTAACTTCCATCTTTCTGATGAGGGTAAAGCCAAAAACTGCCAACAAACCAAGAGAATCCTGTTAAGTGACGATTATAGTTAGTTAATTAGAATCTAACTGAGGTTACTGGATGATATCAATCAATTGAACTTATTAGTCAGGGACATTAAAAACATAATACTTGCATCTTCAAAAGCTCTTTGCTTTATATATTAAAAAACTCACCCATAACACATGCACACACTCATCTCTCACACTCGCCTTTCTCTTGGTAAAACTGCAGGTGGTGATGTGGTTTGAGTTCCAGCCCAAATAATCACAAAGACAGAAGAATAATTTGATCTGACTTGTGAGTACATGATGTACAACTATATCCCAACACACTGCAGCATGAAGAACACTAAGCCAGACTTCTGGCCCGTAACTGTTAACAGCAAACAATAAGAGAGTCCAGCGGGTTATGTAACAGTCACACATTTCTGGAGAAACACTTCCTGAGTGAGAAAGGGCTTCCTGCTACCCTTCCTCTCGGTATCCTTCAACTACTCTGGACCATGGTGATTTTATACTCTGAGGGAGGAAAAAAGGCACTTGAGTTCCTGCTAGATTCCATGTGCTTTCTATCCATTATCCCATTTAATCCTCAAACCAACGATACAAGGCAAACAAATCCCTTTTTTTTTTACAGATGAAGAAAAAGAGGTTCATCGAAGTTAAACAATTTGAAGAGATCACAGTCCCAGTCTTCTGGTCCACTGAGTCAGGGCTTAGGGTCCAGAAAGAACTTAAGGAGAAGCTAATGCAGATGAACTGCTGACTACACTTTGGGAAACACTGGCCACAGAGTTTATGAAAGGTCGAGTTCACAGTTAGTAGGTGATGTCGATAGAGGAATTAGAATCTGGGTCTTAGCTCCTAGTCCAAAGTTATTTCCAGTCCTCAAATCCAAATCCCTTAGGATCATAGTTATATGCTCCGGACTCATTCATTTGAGTAATAAAGATCCTCTCTGACTCCAATGAACCTTCCTTGTTCCTTGGGCACAGGATAAACTTTATCTTACCACAAGACAAGTCCATTCTAAGGTCAGGGGCTTTTTTAGCTCCAAAATTTAGCACACTGCTTGATAGATGTTATGCACTATATAACTCTTCAGTGAAAGGTATACCAAAGAAATAAAAGGAAAGAATGTCTATTTGCTCCCTCTTTTGGTAAAAACATGCAAACAAAACCTCTCAGTCAGATGATCTGTTAATGTAACACTTCTAGGATTCTAACCATCTCTATCCTGGGTGAGATAGTACACATACACCATAAACACAAAAGATACCATGGAAAAGTGCATGTCTTTTATGTGAAACTGACTCCCAACCCTAGGCTTCAGGGGGTGGATCATGGGAACCTAAATAAAGCCAATTAATACATTTCATCCAGTGATTGGTTCAGCAATGGGCACGAGCTCCAAGCCAGCTCAAACAGTCATTAAGATTCAACACTAGGGCTTCTGTTTGTGTTACTAAGAGTGGGCTCTCTCTTTCACTGGAGAAAAGGTTGGCATGATAAGAGCTTGAAGTTGCAAGGACCACCCTCTGGAGTCTAAGAACAACAAAGAGAGTGCAGAGTTAAAAAGATGGACCTTGATGAAATGTGTGTCCTAAATCAAGGGGATCCTGAAGCCAGGTTTCCCCTTTCTGGTGACTCAACAAACTCTTTCCCATTTAACACAGGTTTTTGGTGTTTGTTTTTTTTTAAATTTCTTTGGATTTTTTATTGGTATTTCTTTGACCTTTTTTTCTTTTAACATCTTTATTGGAGTATAATTGCTTTACAATGGTATGTTAGTTTCTGCTTTATAACAAAGTGAATCAGCTCTACATATACATATACATATATCCCCATAACCCCTCCCTCTTGCTTTTCCCTCCCACCCTCCCTATCCCACCCCTCTAGGTGGTCACAAAGCACCGAGCTGATCTCCCTGTGCTATGTGGCTGATTCCCACTAGCTATCTATTTTACGTTTGGTAGTGTATATATGTCCATGCCACTCTCTCACGTCGTCCCAACTTACCCTTCCCCCTCCCTGTGTCCTCAAGTCCATTCTCTACGTCTGCGTCTTTATTCCTGTCCTACCCCTAGGTTCTTCATAACCTTCTTTTTTTTTTTAGGTTCCATATATATGCAACACAGGTTTTAAGCATGTGTCCTATTTTGGACCCAGAACCAGTTTGTTACCACAAGAATGACTCAGAGGTCCTTTCCATGTGCTCTCATCAAATTCATTATTTAATCCATTCTTTTGTTTCCTTCACTTTCAATTTTTTTTCCATTAGCATTTATTCTCCTTCCTCCTTCCAGTCATTCAATCAACATTTATCAAATGTGGATAAATGTCAGTGCCTATTAGTGCCAGGTCCTTTAGGATCTCATGATCCTTGGAAAGGGCAGGCAGGTACGTACACAGGTAACTCAGCGTGCTGAGGTCAGGACTCCAACAGAGGTATGAACGGAGAGCGCTCTGCTTGGGAGCAGTCAGGGAATGGTGCAGAGCACAGGTGATACCTCGATTGGGTCTCGAAGGATGAGAGGAGTTTTGCTAACTGAAGAAAAAATACTGGAGGAGGAACTTTTCAGGAAAAGACAATAATACGAGTACAGTTAACTCTCATTATTCACAGTAGTTATGGTCTATAAAGTCACCACAAACACTGAATTAGCAAATACTGAATCCTTTCTCCTAGAGGAAATTCAGGGTTCGGTTCCTGCAAGCCTCTGGCCAAAATATTTTTGTCAACCAATCCATACATAATCTTGTTTTATGTCTGTTTCTGTGTAAAGACACCGTATTTAATATATACAGCTGATTCATTAATATTGAACCCATAACAGCACTATAACTCGAGTCTGGATGAAGTTTATCTAACACGTGTGTTTCCTCCAAAAGGTACACGATGATCTTGTGCTTAGGAGCCGTAGACAGTGGTTCAGCACTCCGCTTGGGGGCATTTTAAATAGCGAAATCATCAAACAAAAATGTGAAAAACATGACATGAAGAGGAAGGGGCACTAGTGTGCAGGGTAAGAGCTGAAACAAGAAGGCCGAGTGTGGCTTTGTTCTGTCTCAGCGTGGAACACGTACATGGGGAGCTCAGACTTTTCACTGCTCTGCATGTTGCATGTCTGTGACTGACCTTGAAAGAGCTGTGAGTACTGGCTTTGGGGTTACAAATAAATTTTAATAAGTAGGTGAATTCTCAAATATGGAGGCTGGAATCTCTGAACAGGAGTGTCAATTATATAAGAAAAAGCTTGGTGTGTTCAAACAGTAAAGCTAAGTTTGTGAAGCTGCAGGAAGATAAAAAACAGCATGGAAAGGCGATCACTGAAAGGAAGGCTGGAAGAGTGATTTGGGGCTATTTTAAGAAAGGCTTCACATGCTGAGTTTTATGTATTTTTCTGTAGGTCAGCTGTTCTCAGTATCAAATATTAATGCAAAATTAAAAATCGGAGAATTCCCTCATAGAACAGAAATATACATTTTAGTATTTGTTAACTAAGAAATAAAAGCTGCGAGGAATTCACGAACTCAATTATTTTGCTGATCACAATATCTACATTTTTTTTTTAAAGTACAAACACATGTAAAACACTTATTCACTGCATAAGTAATGCTTGGTG